ATGACCCCAGAACACACAAAAATGCTGACAACCACCATCAAGACTACATCTCTAAGACAAGAAGGAAGCTAAAGGAAACAAGAAGCCAGAACACAACCTCTCCAGCAGCCAACACCCAGATAAGCAGGGATTAACACCAGGCAAACATTCAAGCAGAAAGTAATACAAGGAACTACCAAGGGAAAAAACCACACCCCCACCAGCACTGGCAGAGCAAGCTACTACATATAAACAAGGAGCAAACCCCTCACTCACTAACACTGATGATGTTACTTACCTAGTCAGGTAATGAAACGTCTGCAATTAAACAACCAAGCCCGGAGAACACCAAGGTCTCCACAGTTCAACCCTGAGCTACAGATATTCTCTTCTATTAAAACTTCAGCTAGCATTAAAATCTCAGAGTGGGAGCTATGGATTGTGAGAGGCATTCTGGACAGAAATGCTGGGTGTTATTGTGAAGCCAGGAATTGTGTGTGAGCTCCTTGTCTTGCTGCAGCATTTGTACAGGAAAGAAGGATCCCACAGGAGTGTTTTCATCCTGAGTTGCAACTTTCCAGAGCACCATCCTTCCTGTTCCTAAAATCTTTAAACTGCTCAGCAGCAGAATGCAAGTGCAGCACAAGGAACAGATTGGAATCAACTCAGGTTTTCCCCCATTCAGATATTGCTCAGCCAGGAAATAAAGGTTAGGCTCGAGTGAGCAACATGAATCTTCTTTGGGCCATCTGAATGTTGGTCTGTGTTGTCTTCTCCAACACTTCTCTTTTGGTCCTTCAACATCTTATTCCTAAAAGCAGGGTGCTTTCCTTAAAGGGCCAGGCTGATGCCCTTCTCCTTCTCCCAGGCTGCTGATGCACCATATCCGTGACTGCTTGCCTGAACTAAAGACCCGGGTGAACGTGCTCACAGCTCAGTATCAATCAGTGCTGCAGAGCTATGGGCAGCCCATTGAGGACAAGAATGCCACTTTGCTTCAGATCATCACTAAGTTTGCCACTGAGTATTGCAACACCATTGAGGGCACAGCACGCAATATTGAGACCTCCGAGCTGTGAGTGAAGCCTCTGCTGAGCCATATGGCCATGGAGCTAAATGTGGGGTAAATCAGCTGGCAGTGGGATGCTGGGGTTGATCTGCTTTCCCTGCTGGCCAGGTGCGGTGGTGCCAGGATGTGCTACATTTTCCATGAAACCTTTGGGCGCACTCTGGAGTCCATTGATCCGCTGGCTGGACTTACGATGCTGGATATTTTGACAGCCATTAGAAATGCCACAGTAAGTTAACACTATGTTGTTTTAAGGTCACTATGACCAAACCTTTGCCCCAGATGCAAGGCCATTTATCCATTATTTTTCACTTTCACCCATGTTCTCCTTTTCTAATTAGGCTGTAATTGCACAAGTATATTGCGCAAGAAAACTTTATTGTGTAGTGACAGAGGTATTGGAGTTCCTATAAAATCTTTCTGCTCCTGTGAACTTAGTAGGGGGCGGGACACACACCAAGTTTCCTTCCCTTGCCAACTGCAGTAATGGGTAATGTTATCTTGGCTTGGAGCATTGTAAGAATTATGAGTGGCTGCCTGCCCTACTGAAAGCATGAAATTCCATTGTAGATGCTGCAGGCAATGCTCCATTCACGTAGAAGAAGGCCAAAGTATTCCCAGGCTGTCTGAAAATCAGACAGCCAAAATGTGTGTGCTCGGATATGTATCTGTGGGTATTGTCTCAGTGTTTGCAGTTTCCAAGCATCCCCCAAACTATTAAAGCCAGTGAGCCAACAGAATGGATCTTGTATCCCCCTAACAGAGGGTTGGTAGAGGCTTCATCATCCAGTTTCTAATGATAGATGTTTTGGTATACCAGGAGGAGGAGGGCAGGGAGAGAGATTCTATCTGTCCCAACTTAGATAGAAGGAGGATAACAAAAGGCAACCATTCTGTGGCTTCTTGGCACATTTAATTTCACCCAAGATGTCCAGTTCTATAGGAAGTCCCTTTTTCCCTTCTACAGTGAGTGTGATAGCTAACCTTTCTCGTAGCAGGCCATCTTCTGTATTTGTAGTACTATACCAGCTTGTCCTCCTGGAAATCACTAGGCTATCTCAAGTAAAGAACAAGTCACTGCTTAAAGAACACTTTTGCTTGCTGAGCCATGCTATAACAACACTTTGGCCCTGTCGTGTGAGGCAGAAACAGAATGCTATTAATTCCTAAGTTAGCAACACCGGAAGTGTGTATTTGAAATTATGCTGAGCTTGTCAGAATTGCAACTGGCCCTTGGGGGCTTAGATTATGCTCTTTTAAGCCCCTCTCGCATAGGCTTGCTCCCCACTGCCAGTTCTTGAAATGCAGTTGCTTCTTCATTTCTCCGGCAGGGTCCCCGCCCAGCCCTTTTTGTCCCCGAGGTCTCTTTTGAGCTGCTGGTGAAACGTCAGATCAAGCGACTGGAGGAGCCGAGTCTTCGGTGCGTGGAGCTGGTGCATGAGGAGCTGCAGCGCATCATCCAGCACTGCACCACCTATAACACGCAGGTACAGCCTTGCTGGGCCCGTGTTCGGTCAGCCCTCCTGCCTCCCTCACCGGAACGCGGGCCCTTGAGTGGGTTCTGGGCCCTCATTCCAGTGCGCGTGAACTCTCAAGGGTAACCCTTGCTACCCTTAGACAGTTAAATACCCAACTTCTGAAGATAGCATCCTTCAGTGGGGGAAAGTTCCACCACACTCCGTTGGTCTAGCAAGCAAGCAGAAAAATGGTTTTTTTACTTCAGTGCTCTTGTTCATCTCTTCTGCCAGTTGCAATGCAACTATTGCATTTCAAAGTGCAAACATGATCCCCAGTTAGCATTTCAAAATACTTGCTCTTGGTCTCGCCCTGCGAGGTTCGTACCATTCTTCTGTGGAAGCAGGGGATGGTAATTTAAGCTCATATTTAGGTTTTTGAGCTCTTGAATCATTACAGTTGGGCTGGTTGGCTGAAGTCCTTACACTAAATATTGGAAATAGTAATTAAATAAATAAAAGGCATATTAGCCTTAGCCTGTGTTCCTTCCCCATGCCCTTTGTTTTGTCTGGAAGGCCCTCCTATTCTCCATTTACAAAAGCCCTTTCAGAGATGCTTCCCAAACCTGTTATGTTCCCCTACCTTTTAGAATAGCTTTCATGGGGCCTGTAGCATCTGTCACCTCCACATGCTCTACTGCAGTGTTGTCCAAACTTGGCCACTTTAAGATGAGTGGACTTCAACTCCCAGAATTCCCCAGCCAGGCCACGTTTGGACAACACTGCTCTACTGTTAGAGATTATGGGCATTGCAGTCCAGAATTTCAGATGGGACGTGCCTGATCCAAGTGAGAGTTGTACTGATCATCTAAACAAACCTTATGAAGCCAGAAGTGCACCATGCCCTTGTGAGTCCTCAGCAGAATTTGATAGATTGCAGGCTGAGGAACCAGGTGCCACAACCCCATACAACTTTAGAGAATTGTTTTCTGGGAAGTCCTAAATATTCTGCTTTTGTAAATCTTTCAGGAAGGCGTTTATAGCCTCCTTTCAGCTGACTGATAAGTAGCTGTGTTTTATTATGAAAGTATGCAAATATAATAAAGCACATTAAATACCTTGTATCTAAGAATAATGCACATTGAAAAGATTAAAAAAAAAGAAACCTCTTAAATTTTAATGTAGTACATGAATATCTTATGGTTATGCCTATTTAAACCTCTGTACCAATAAATAAACAGTCCTCGTGATAGGTAAAATACTGGCTCATAGATTCTCCTTTCCTTATCTAATGTGTAAATTTTCTATCGGATCAGTCTTCATAGAGGAAGCCGTTTACAAGGTGATCTATAATGGCTTCTCTTAAGGATCCACTGGTAATTTTGCCGTCAATTTATTTTCAGTAAATCAGTGTGAGATACAGTGATGTATTAATAACACAAATAACATTCAGTCTAGACATCCTTGATTATTTTAATATTTTAATGTACTACCTGTACAAAAATATATAGACTGAGTGTGAAAACTTCCTTAGAAGTTCCATTTTAGACCACTGCCAGCTTTTGTTTCAAAAAAAGGTAAAACTAAAAAAAAAATTCTTCAGGAGTTGCTGCGTTTCCCCAAGTTGCATGAGGCCATTGTGGAGGTGGTGACAGGAGTCCTTCGCCGGAGGCTGCCCATCACCAATGAGATGGTAATTGTTTTTCTTTTTTCTTTTGGTAAGAATAACAGTATGGAATGGCCCTTGCTGCTGCATGTCTCTTCCAGAGGCTTTGAAGCTGGTGGGTGTATCTGGAATTTAGAGTGAGTGGCGCATACGCTCTCGTATGACAGCTGTTATGGTAGACACAGCTAGTCTCAAAACACCACATGGCAAAATAACAAAGTTGCGCTTTATTGCTCCCTCTGCCTCCCTCCCGCTATGAGCCCAGGATGTTTTCTAACATTTCAGCTTATTGCCATCTTATCTGGGAAGCTGTATGTACTTTCAAATGAAGCTTTGGGTTATTTCTGTTTTTTATGAATGATTCTGGGCTCCTTGGGAGGCCTAGAGGTAGTCTTGGATATAAAAATGGTACTTAAGGTTGATGTTTTGCTTTGTAGCATGACACCTGCAGGTTGCTTTTTTGTGGGACAGAGATCTTGGGCATTATTGAGCACAATGCCACCCACCAGACACCCTAGGCCTAATAATGCCTCTCTCCTAGGTGCACAACCTGGTTGCCATTGAGCTGGCCTATATTAATACCAAGCACCCTGACTTCATAGACACAGCACTGGTCTCTGCCTCAGTGAGCAATTCTAAGGTAACTTTCCATGGATGCCCCCCCCCACCCCACCCCGTCCTTAATGTCTACCTGGTGTCTTACCTTGCAGCCCGTTCTTGCATTTCTTCCAATCTAGAGTGAAACTGTTGCAGATGGTACCTGGCGATGGAAAAGTGAGAAAGCAGAAGAACCTGGCACTGATGATAGGCCTAAGGGATCCTCCCAGACTTTGGTCTATTCTAGCCCCAGCCGGTCCCACGCAGTCAATCTGCTAGACACGGTCAGCCGGGATAAATCTGGGAGGAATAGGGAGGGAGAGAACAGGTGGGCTGGCTAGAACATAGCCTCCTTTTAGCAGCAAAGAATGCTGCTGGGGCTTGCAATATGGAAACCCAGGGATGAATTGGAAGAAGTCCCAATACTTGCATAAGAAGTACATGATCTTACTGTTAGGTCAGTGCTTTTTGCCCCTGGAACTTAAGCAGCTTTGGACTGTATTTGTGTGATAGGGAAACAACACCGTCAGGATGGATTACTGCAAAGGGATGGGAAAGAGATATTTACTGTTACCTCAGCCAAGGGTGTAGGACCTTGAGTAGCTGCTCTCCCAGCTAAGCTGCTGTAGCCTCTGGTGGGCACTGCTCACCACCATTTCCCCTGCCTCTCCCTAGCCCATGCCAGCAACACGGAAGCTAAGCCAGCGTGAACAGCGAGACTGTGAAGTCATCCGGAGGCTTATCAAGTCCTACTTCCTCATTGTGCGCAAAAGCATCCAGGACAGGTAAGTGGGTTGGCAGGGAAACTGGGATTGGTTAGTGGATGAGCTGCAGGTGTCATCTCGATTTAGTCTGCCTTCCAAAGTGGGTTTTCTGCTAGCAGAGGTTTGAGAGTAAGCAGAGACTAGCATGACAAATACTAGCAATGGCACAAGTCCAGGGAAGATTTTATGCAACTGTAGAGAAACATTGACTATAGGCCTTTTTAAATGAGGAGAAGGCAGCCTTCCTTCCCCAACTCAACCCCTTAAAGACGTTTGGGGGTTTGGGGGACTGCTGCTCTCAAAATTCTTGGCCAGTTTCTGATATGTACCATTTCCAATTTTCCCTAACCCCAGTACATTTTAATGTATGTCATTTCTTGCTGCTTTAATCAGAATATTTCATCTTCTACCGGGAAGTCACGGCATCCATGATATGTAGTTCTCACTCTGAAGTACTACAGAAGGAGAGTATCTAAGCCAAAAGTGTCATAGTAATCTATTTCTGCTGCAGTATCTAAGCCTAAAGTGCTATAGTAATGTATTTCTGCTACAAACAGGAAAGATGAAATTATACTTGAACAGCAACTGTCAGTTTAAAAATTGGGGACTTTAAGAACTTGTGTGTCTAAATCAATTTATCTGCTTTCCTTCCTGCAGTGTCCCCAAAACTGTGATGCATTTTCTTGTGAACTATGTCAAGGACCATCTTCAGAGTGAACTTGTGGGCCAGCTGTACAAGCCCCAGCTTCTAGACACACTCCTCACAGAGTCTGAGGACATGGCTCAGCAGCGTAATGAAGCAGCCAATATGCTCAAGGTGATGGAGGGAGATGGGTGGGCAGGGGTGCTAGAAATCAGCTCTGGTTCAATGATGGTCAGAGAAAACTGTGTTTCTGGCTCACGAGGAGCAGAACCAGTTTGCTGCTTTAAATCCTTCCCCAATACTGAAAGCTGCAAAAACTCTTTCCCAAGATACTGAAAATGGCACTGGGTTTCAACTAAAATGGCTGTATTTTAACCTTTTAAAAGCCTTAAGCGCCCTGAGTAGCCTTCTCCAACTTGGACAACTCCCTCTGTGTGTTGTCTGGCTTCAGTTCCCAGACTAAGTGTGTAAGGCTGGGAAAGACTGGCCAAGATCCAAGGAGCCTTACTCCAAGCCCCATCACCATTGCAACCAGTCTTTCTTCAGATCAGTGACCAAACTCCCCACTTTCAGATAGCTACTTGACAAGTATTTTAGCATTGCATATATAGTCCGTTAATTTATTTTTAGTACAACACTTTAATGAAAGTACTTTTTTTTAGGTTTTAGATGTAATTTTTTTTGGTTACTTGACAAGAGTTGGAATGTCTGAATCCTCAGCCAAGTTTTCTGTTCTTTTGCAGGCATTACAGAAAGCCAGCCAAACAATATCAGAGATCCGAGAGACTCAGCTCTGGTGAGATGTACTTAAAGCTTCAGAAGATTCCATGTTGCAAGAACATTACTCATTGAGACCCATGCAAGTGTTCAGCTCTGACTCCCACCTGAATCTTTACTTTCCCAGATGGGGAAGAAATTGTGTCCTGAGTGATCAAGCTCTAGTTTAGCACAAGAGTGTGTCCCTATTTGAAGTGTGTTGAAGTGTCCGTGGTGTACGGATAGCATTCTGGAGCCTGCATAGGGTGGCTCTCCCCTGCTACCTCATTGGTCTTCCATGATTTTCCAACCCTGCTAGATTCATCAGTATTAAATTCCTGCTTTGTTCAGATCAAATTTATTTTATTGATAGCTGCATCCTTGAGCACTTGCTGAGTTTGGCCAGTCTTTATGGCAGATTAAATCTAGCTCTAATTTCCATACATTTCCTGAACATGGTGCATTTGGTAAATTTATTGATGTGAAACCCCTTGTCTGTGTTTGCTTAACTACTAGGAACATACGGTTCTGTATTTGGCCTTGCAAATGCCTTTTATTCTCATAACTGCTCTACAGGTAAAAAGAGGAGTCTCTCGATAGATAAAAATGCCTGGGTAAGCTTGAATAAGATAAGTGCTGTCCTGGCAGAGATTGATCCACTCTGACCCAATCCAGGAGCTGATAATGCTGGATCTCACTCTGAATTGTGCTTTCACTCCACGTTTTACCCAAGAGTCATGTGCAATAGTGTCACTTGTGGGAGCCTTCACCTGTGATGCTTGAGGGGTGGGGGTGGGGAACTGAACAGTCCCCAAGTTTGCATGCATCTCTGAGCCAAGCAGGGACCAGGCTTGGCCTGCACATTTTCATGAAATAAACTTGTGGAAGATTGTATAATCGGTGTGTTTTGTTTTCTTTAAAGGGAGTCAAAAACATATGACAGATAAGGTCCTATTAGGGCACCTGGATCCTGGCAACTGCTGATACAGAGTGCTGATTGCTGGGTTTAAACTCTACATCACAGAAGAAGGGATTAGAAAGCAAAAGCATTTGAGTGTCTTATAAAATGGATTTTAAATGTTGCTGCAGAGGGTGGAATAGAAGTCAGACAGAATGTCCACGGCAGTGTTTCTCAACTTTGGCAATTTTAAGACGGGTGGACTTCGACGCCCAGAATTTCCCAGCCAGTCTACGGGGAATCTGAATCAATTTGATTGACATGGATGGGCAAGGGATGAATACATGGGGTCATACATCATGCAAGACCTAAGTCTTTTCAACATTCAGCAGTTAGTTCAAATTGGTGTGCAAAATTTCTATGGCACCTGGGAACTGGGTCTGCTGCCCTACATGGTATGGTGACACTTGACTGTTGTTTCTTTTGTATCCCTTGAGCTTAAAAGGATAGTGTGGATTAACTGGCACTGGAGTTACACAACCAGTCTTTCATATTTTGCTGCCAGCTGGATGAATGAGTAGAGATTGTCTGCAGCACCATCTCTGGAAATGGGTGCCTTAACTCTCACTGTTCTGTCCTTCTGGATGGCAACCATTTCTGCTTGTTGGTGCAGGTTCATTCCCAAAAGATAGCCTGGGCTTAGAAAAGCTGCACATGTATGAGGATTATTAATTATGAGGGGGATCTAGTGATAGGTGCTACAGTCTGAGACAACATAGCCTAGGTGGAAAATGCTACTTAAAACAAGCTTTAGGCTGGCATCCTGAAAGGTGGAAGATCTATTGAAGCATGCTTCACACACACTGTCCACTTGTTACAGGACTAATAATGTAAGCAAATAACACACAAGACACCCCTTTTCCACACAGCAAGGACATTTGATCAATTTATGAAGCATCAAATATACAGTTTCATATATACAAAGTGGAATGGACTGGGGGGGTGGGAGAAGGAAAGGGACCAAAAATACAGTCAATCTGAGAGAAGGGGCAGAGGGAAAGCCCCATGCTACAGAAAATACATGGGCTGGAGACCACCACCCCCTCCCTCGTAAAGGCTGGTATTTATAATATATAGTATATACATGGAAATCTGTACAGCAACAAACCCGACACAGGAAGTGCAGTGCAGGGCAGGGACAAAGTGCATGCTCGGGGGTGGGGCACAGGGTGGGAAGACCTGACATGGGGTATGATGTGGGGGAGAGGAGAAACCCAGGACTTTGCAAGGTGGCGCAGGGAGGTCTGAGCTGCCACCTGAGGAGACTCCTGGGTTCCCCCCCAAGGCTGTGGAGCTTAATCAGTTAGCAGAGGGCAGAGGAAATGAAGCCTAGTGTGCTTCCAACCTGTGAGAATCAAGAAACCCGTAAGCCTCCTGAGACCCTCTACCAATTGCTCCTCTCTTAGTCTTCCCCCTTCCTCAAAAGAGCAAGAGAAATCTCACCTCTCACTCTGCTTGCTCCCCTTAGAGCAGTCATTTCTGTAAGTTTAACAGGGCACTTGAGCAGGACTTGTATAGGCCACAGCGAGACGATAAGCCAAGCTTCTCCACCTTGGCATTCTCCGTATTACTGACTCAGCAATAATCTTCCTATCTGACTGGGGAAGATGGCAGCTGTAGTTCAGACAGTCAGGAGGGCAGCAGGTGGGGCTGGCTGGATGAAATATTTCTACCTTGTGCAACCTTTGAGGCTAGCCTAATTCTTTCTGCCACAAGTAGAACTAACCTTCAGAGGCGGCTAGTCTGCATTTTAGCATGGGTCACTGCTCTACTTTCCTCTTCTAAGCTAGGGAAAAAAATAGTGTGCTTCTATTATTAGAAATCTGGGGAGCACCTCTTTGCATTTTATTAAGCAATAAAATAATTTCTTCCATCCAAAATCCATAGCATCTCCTTAAAAATATAAAAACAGGCACTGTTAATTCAGGCATCATTTCCTTACTTTTTGAAATGACGACTTGATATCCTTAATCCAGCTTTGTCTCTCTTTGTCCAAAGCTAAAACAAGACCTAGGAGGAGGCCCACCTCTTAACGTTACTAGGCAAGATAGGTGAGTGGCAGAACAACATAGCACCTCAAGGGAAGGAAGAAGGTTAGGTCTGGATGTGCCCCATAAGCTTGATTTGGGACAGCAGAAACTGGATGCCATCTTTTTCCGGAAACACAGCGCACAGGGATTAAAGTGCATCTAACCTTCCAAAGGAACTTGTTGGGAGAGAATCCTACTCTGTCTCCCCATTACCAAGCACTAATGCACTGACTAGATGAACAAACAATTTAGGAGAGAAGAGATCACAGCAGTTTACTTTCCACTCTCCAATTCAATTAGGGGTGGGTTCATACAAAGCCCAAGAATATAGAAGTCCCTATTTTTAAAAATAGATTCAGTGCAAACCCCAGAGAAGGGGTGGGGAGGAGAAAGGAGTAAAAATAGCCCTTTATGCATAAGAACCGAGAGGGCAGGACACATTTCCTTCCCGTGTCCCAGATTCTCCATACTTTGGACTTGCCCCTTCCCCACAGATCCTTAACATCTCCTGTCCAAGTCTCTTTCCTTTCTCTAATGTAAACAACAGAAACTCACAAACTGTGCAAATTACCAAGACAGCCTCTCTTCATCACTTCCCCAAAAGAGCAGGGGGCCCCAGAGGCTCATCAGCCCCACACGCTGCAGGTGATTGACCGATGTTTCTTTCTCTCTCTGGAGCAAGTCAACAGGCAAGAGGGCTTTCAAGAGGAAGAGCCTATTTTCTAAAAATATAAAATATTTGTCTAGGAATTGGTGACACTAGTAGGGCAGGATGAGGGAAGACAGGTCGAAAGCATCCAGGAAGCCAAAACACTGAAGCACCTTTGAGAAGCAGCCTGTCCAAGGGGCAAACTGATACCCACAGTGCTGAAGGCCTGTGCGGGTAGGTGTGTATACCGTCTTTTTGGATATAGCAAAGCACCTGCCTGCAGGTTTTCTGCGGTAATGAAACCACCCCCTTTGATAGAGACCGGAAGGCATGCTCCCCTCTGCACAAATATCAAAGTCAGAAGCTACTCTGCAAGAACAAGGAGCCAGGTATTTGACTGAGAGTGGATATTAACTGCTTTTCCCTAAACAAGGACAGATCACTGGAAGAAACAGAGGCTTATGAGGAGGTGCAGGAAGAAAATGGCAGGCTTGGGAAGGACTAAGCACCTGGTTCCTGCTGCATCTCTTCTGCATAACATTTTCTGTGCCCCTCTGCAGAATCTGGCAGAGAACTAAGTATTTTACAGAGCCCAAAAAATTCACCAAAGGTCTTTAGAACTCTGCTTCATCTCCTGTATTCACTTGGGCTGTTTGCAAGTGAGGAAAATGAGTTCATGGTCTACAGGAGCTATTAAAAACTGGGGTAATCAGACTCAAAGCATGTTTTCATGTAAATCAGAAAAAAGCGAGAAATTCTTCTTCAGTCATTCTTCTGAGTAAAAATTACCACTACAAAGCAGGATTCATAAATGCCACTTGCAATGTAAACAAGACATACAGAAGGCAGCCACAGGGACTACCTGCGTCCTGCCTAACGTTTTAAAAAGGAAAGCTCTTCCTCTTGTCAGCAAATTCTGGGGCCAATAAGGGAATGAAAAGTCTTGTTTGGACTACTGTCTTCTGGGGGGAGGGTCTGAAGCAGCTGGAAATACAAAGCCCTTTGCACGGCTTGCTGTGCACATTCATGGCTTGCACCATGCCAGGCAAGATTGCCTGGGGGCCTAGCAGGTATCCCACATACAGCAGAGAGTATGATTATCTCTGCCCACGTCTGACAATGGGAGCACGTAGCAAAATCATAGGATCGACTGCTTCACCATGGCCTGCCTGCCTGCCTGCCTGCCTGCCTGCCTGCCTGCCTGCCTTCCTTCCTTCCTTCCTTCCTTCCTTCCTTCCTTCCTTCCTTCCTTCCTTCCTTCCTTCCTTCCTTCCTTCCTTCCTTCCTTCCTTCCTTCCTTCCCCGTCAGTCATCCCCATCATGAAGTGATGCTGTCAGAGAAGAATTTGCTGCCCCAGAATTTGGGATGGAAAATTCTACCTGTTTGGCCATACCCCTAAGACAACATAAACAGAAACCTGCTTTCCCCAACACTGCAGCTTATGCTTTCACCAGCCACAGTCACCACAAAACTACCATACTGTCCACAGGTGCTCAGAAAAAGATGGTAGGAGTGGGGAGAGATGACCCGCAGGGAAGAGAAAAGAGGCAGAGCTCCCAGAAGCAAAGCCCAGGTGAAGCTGGTGCCCCCCTCAGGCCACGAATGGTGTTGCAGGTCCAGATTTCTTCCTTTCCAAGGGATGCCCTCTCTCAGTTCTGATCCTAGGAAAAAGAGGGATGGGACGTGGAGTGGGGAGGAGGAAAGGGAACGGCCATAAAATCTAGACACCCTCCTGACCTCCATCCTTCCCCATCACCTCAGCTGGAACAGGGGAGGCCCCGAGCTCTGTTATTTATATATTTATAGATCTGCCCTCAGCCCCACTGTGGCAGCAGCTGCTCACACAACGGTGCTGATTCTGTTGACCGGCTTAGGTTTGGGATTCGGGGGCCCTTGAGCAGGCATGGGTGGAGGGCCCCCCTGGTGCATGGGGAGGTGCTGGGCCAGAGGGGATGTAGGAGCAGCCGGAGAGTGGGGGCTGAGAGGGGTATGAGGGGATGGAGGGGGGAGAGGTGGGTA